GGGAGCCGGAAGTTGCTTCCCCCGGTCACACAGCCAGGGCGGCGCTCTCCACATTCTTCTCCGCGATCAAATCCTCTCCACCCTCCACGTTCCCCTCGATCAGCTCACAATGCACGATCCACAGGGAGAGACCAAAGAAGTAGGGCAAATCCTTACAACCAGCTGCAGGAGAGCCAGGAGGACAAGAGTATGTTTAGTTTACACCTGCTGCCAAGTCTGGATCCTCAAAGGGAGCAAGATCTGTATCGTAGCTTTGAGGCAGAGTTCCTAGCCAACACGCAACAAGTCAAGGCTGGGCAGGGTAAAGAGTCCACTGGAAGGGAAATGAGGTCACTACAGCTCCCTGTCTCCAATCAAGGTTTAGGGGCGCTCCCAACCTCTTCAGGTGACACTAACGTTACAGACTCTGCTTACTCTTCGTCTAACTCTTCAACATCTTCTCTTAATGTCGGAGGTAAGGTAGGAGTTCTGCCTGATTTGCGAGAGTCTAAACGGACTAATCATCGTGCCTGTGCACTCGAGGACCCACCTGTCCTTCTCCATAGCCAGATTCATGGAGGGCTCCTGGAGGGAGGGCGATGGGGTAGTAAAGGTGGTCTCCGTAAGCTCCCTGCCATCTCCAGCTCCACAGAGGAAGGAGAGGCCTCAAATCCAGGCCTATCCAGATCAGTGTGCCTCCCCAAAGACATCAATGGAAGCCTCCCTTTGACTGAGGTGCCAATGGAGAGCCAGCAGGACCTGGTGGAATGGGTTGTGGTGGAGGGAAACATGCCACAAAGTGAACATCACCAAGATCTACCATATGGCAATGCTGTCCAGACTCTTCCTGAGTCATTTCCCTCCCCTCCACCACCTCTAGATGACTGTTCCTACCAGGACTCCTCCAGTGAAAGCTCCTCCATGTGCTTGAGCATGAGTGAGCCTCCATCTGAAGGCTCCTGCACTCCACCTCTACCACTGGCCAATGGGGATGCGGATGGCACAGTCGTCCTCCGTTCCAAAAAGGGTCAAAAGAAGACAGAGAGGGTGCCATCCATCTACAAGCTCAAGCTGCGGCCAAGGATAAGACCTCGCACTGACAACAGACCTGAGAACAGCCCGTCACGCATCCCTACACCTTTACAATACAGAAATCATTGTCAGCAGTCTCCTGCCAACTCGTCTCCCCTCCAGACCCCACCACAGTCCCCACGTTTAAACACTAACCAACCCTCGCACAAAGCTTTGCACCAGGCCTTTGCGGACCTCATCCAGCCCCAGCAGCGATCCCCGGCTATGGGCTCTAGAGAGTGTGCCTACTCTTCAGAGTCCAGCCTAGACAATGAGGCCTGGATGTAGTGAATGATGACGATGTACGCAAGCCTTGGTCTATGTTCCTTTGCTCAGCATATACAGCTTTACAGTCAGATTAGAGAGAGGAGTGGCAAAAAAAAGCACATTTGTAAGACAGAGACATTGCACATCTGACTGGTGTACAACATGTAGCAAGAATCCTTACTGTCAATTCACTGGAGATATACATTTGTCCTAAAGGGGCTAAGTACATTACCAATGCCATTCTTGACATCTTGGACCAACATAGCCTGTTCTGAAGTAATTCAGAGCTACATGCACCATCTGAGATATGTTTGATTTCGTTCATTGAGTCATTTTTTTTTTCTGTTTGGGAAAGAAAATTAGTACATTTCCCTTTAGGGGATCTCTAGGTTTTAATGCTTCTCCATACGTCCATGTCCTCATTACCTGTTTCTGAATTTGTTCCATGAGGATTAATTTCAGCTGGTTTAGTTCAGTTTTCATTTGTTAGGATTGGAACGAAGTATAAACATTTTAATCAGGGAATTGTAATATACAGAGTGTACTGTATACTGGAGAATAAGAGCTGTATAACCCGTAGAGCAAATAAGATGATGGTGGAATCATTTTAGGGTAATTTTGTGTGCAAGGCAAGCACCTAAATGACGCTTTGAACATACTTCCATGTGGAATCCAAATTGGAAATACAATTAAATGACTGTACTGTTTTTAGCCCAGGCTAAATAGAATGGAATATCAACTTGTTTCATCATTTTGAGGATCTCTCAGAAACGTTTACGAGAGGACGCTATCACATTGGCAGACAAGCAAATATCTTGTATTTGTGTGTATTATGTTTTGTACATACTAATATGGTTAATGTAAAGGTTTATATGTAATATATGTTCATTTGCTGAAATGTGGGGTCGTGTAATGTAAATATAATTATTAATTGAATTTAATACTAATGTATAAAACATATGCTGTTTATTTCAGTATGTTAATTCTGCCTTAGCTATGCAATGTTGCTATTGAATGTTGCCTTGACAAATTTTCTTGCCTTAAAGTAAGTATGAGAAGTTGTTTTTGTGAAGTAGAGATGACGGGATGTTGTGTGTATGTATCTGGGTGGAAATATCTGTGTGTGAGGTAGAGAATGTGTGTTGGATCCTGTGTTTTGGCCCATTGTTAACTGTGACAATCACACATGTGAGGGTAATGGTAACAACAAGATCCTGCTTTATCAGCATTCTTCTGTTTGAAGTTTTTGTTTAAATTAAAGTAATTGCTTGATTTATTATCTACAAGTGAGAAATGAAGGACACTTAGTGTCATATTAAACATCAATAGGATGTTTCTCAAAACATGGAAATCACTACAAACTAGAAAATGGAAATCATTTTTATTGCGGCCCTTTTATTGTGAAAGCTATATCGAGTCCAAAACTGTTTATGAAGTAGTGATATTTTCCACTGTAATCATCATTAGACATTACATTTCTTTTAAAGTTCTGTGGCGCCACCAAGTGGTGGAATGCTTTGACTGTTAAGTCAGATGTGTTGTGTGACTTGCAGTACAGAATGAATATTCTGTCATCATTTCTTCACCCTCAAGTTGTTCCAAAACTGTATGAATTTCTTTCTTCTGCTGAACACAAAAGAAGATATTTTGAAGAATGTTGGTAACCAAACAGTTGATGGACCCCATTGACTTCCACAGATTTTTTTCTTATACTGTGGAAGTCAGTGGGGGCCAGTCAACTGTTTGGTTACCCGTATTCTTAAAAATATCTTCTGTCATACAACAACTTGAGGGTAAGTAAATAATAACAACAGAATTTTCATTTTTGGGTGAATCATCCCTTTCAAATGAGTCCAGTCAAATGAATTACACTACACACATATTGCTTTGGCATTGGATTGTTTATTTATATTGAATGAGTAAGTTATTAGGCCTTGGTGATTTGGTTAGGGGTAAACTGTACTATCATAAAGGGACGATGTTGTATGTTTCTGAATGAATGGATGAATTGTTTACTTTTGGTATGTTCTCTTTTGGAGGCTTTAAACTGCCGTGCGTTTATGAGCTCAAGTGTTTGATTGAGAGATTATCTGATGTTTGTTGTTTCAATTAATCAAAAATGGGTCAGGAAAAGTGAGGGAGATGTTAATGGGAATGGATTTCAGCGTTCATGTTTTGCCTAAATGACTGCAACCATATTACTCTTAGCATGGCCATTTACTCTCCACAAAAATCCGCAATATACAATCCAGCACTGCACATTGCTTCTATGTTTATTGGCATTTAAATGCCTGCTGTGACACGTTAGGACTTTGTTAAATTTCATACCTAAGTACAAATAAGGACAGTAGAGCTTTCTCCAGTCTTTCAGATTACATTAATGGTTGCTGTGCCTAATTCTCATAGTCACATATACACACTACACATCCAGTTATCTTTACAATATGTAATCATTAACTGCCATACATGTGTACAGTAAACTGATTTGAACTCCAATCGTATTTATTCTGTTTTTCTTTCCAAGAAAAAAAAGACAGAAAGATGTTTCTTTTCTGTGATTACATTTATGCATTTCTAATCACATATAGACATTTTTTAAATAATTTATTGCATGGATGGGTTCTGTTTTTCTTTATTCATTATTGACATCAGAACTAAAGGCATGTAGATTCACACATTGTATTTACTTGAGCAGAACCATCTGATTTGCATTACACAAATATGATGTTCAGATGTGATTTTACAAAATGCATGTTGAATCTACAGTTATGCTCTGGTTTCAATAAATGAAAAGGCTGTTGGATGATTTGAAATTTGAATGTCTATGGATTTACTCTTAAATTGCAATTTTTTTGGCTGATTATTTTTCTTTAATGATGACAATGAAATGTAAGGTCTTGACATTGTGGAATTTGTCTGTGTTGAATAGCAATATTGCAAGACCAACATTCCACTGTTCCTTGAAAACCAATTGCTGTTAATTTAATTCTTGAAATAAAAAATGTTTTGGATCAAATTATTTGTTTTGTGCTTGTCTTCCATTTATATATATCCTAATCTTTACTAAGATTATTTCGAGAACATTCAATATTTAGAACAAGAGAACAGGTTTGCATGACAAAAGACATGGTGCATTTGAAAATTTACATTTATATTCAAGATAAAATACATTTGTTAAACTTGACATAAAAAATAAAAAACATTGGTGACTCAGATTTTATGTTACGATATTGTTATGTGAAGAAAATATTACAGAATAACCCAGCAAATTTTGCACCCTCTATTATATTGCCCATGGAATATCAGGTGCAAGCATCAGGTGTAATATTACCTCACACAACTATATCATAACAAAATCCGAGTCGTGTAGTAAGTGAATTAAATCTGTAAATCATTTGAGATTTTACTGTAATTTTTGGGCAATCGGCAAATAGTGTAACATGAGAAAACTCTTCTCTATGAAGGCGGAAGACGGAAGTGTGAATCATATGACAAAACATGTAAGGTGGGAGGGAAGGAAGAAGGCCGACTTGTACACACTCACTTCACTTCGGTAAGGAGCATTTCTCGGTTTTACTAAGGTACGGGGACTCGTTTCCACTTATCTATGGCTTTGTGCGCTGCTTGGTTGGTTCAGTAATACAGCACGCTAGATTAAAGGATTACTGTGTGCTCTCATAAGCCCTGATTATAGAAGGTCATGAAGCTTCAGCTCGCGAGCCGTTAGCATTTAGCTAGCTCATCCATCGACTCTACATCTCCGCGAGCAGGTTCATTCATCCGCCAAAAATGGAGTGGGCAAGTCAGCTATGTGTGAGTGACGGCCTATTTCGCTCTAAGGATTGGAAGAAATACTCGTTGATAGATTTGGGTTTAAATGAGTTTGAAATGTCGGATTCGGGACGTAATAAATGGGTTTTGCTAGTTAGCTCTGTGGCTTTGAGATTAGTGTGTCTGTCACCTGCTGCAGTCACCGCTGTGCCACGTACTTTTAACCAGTTGTGATGTTACGATTGTTGGTAATAATCATTTACGACCAGGCCCTGCATCACGTTAACAGTCGTTTAGTAGTGTATGTCAGCTCTTTGACAGTTGACAGCTACTTTATCTGTACTGCACTAGCTGGGAGTGGGACGCCGCCTCACAGGTTGACGAGATAGATTATTATTTTCGTTTAAATGTGAACCTGCTGGAATGGCTGTAGATTAGCAAGTATGTTAACGTTATTATACTATAGAAAATGTCTATTGTTCCTATTCTTGTTTACGCGGCGGTATCAATTTTTGAGTCCAACTAATACTGGTTAACTTAGTTGGTTTAGTTTTGCAGTGCCAAACTAGATTTTTGCTGATTTCTCGACAAAATTAGTTGTTAATTCATGTGCTCTTCTTACAATGTTAAAAGCTTTCAGAAGTTAGTTTTAAAATAACTGTTTCCTATTTGAATATACTGTATTTTAAAATGTAATTTATTCCTTTGATGGCAAACCTGAATTTTCAGCATCATTACTCCAGTCTTCAGTGTCACATGATCCTCATCCTTCATAAATCATTTTGATATGCGGATTTGGTGGTCAAGAAACATTTGTTCTTGGATTAATGGAAAGTTCAGAAGAACAGTATTTATTGGCAACAGGAATACTTTGTAACAGTATACTGTTTTAGATATTTTGTAGCATTATACTCTAAATGTCTTTACTGTCACTTTTGATAAATGTATTGTGTCCTTGCTTATTATTATATTATTAATAAATTACTGATTATTATTTAAAAAGAAACTCTGGTTAACATGGTAATTGTTTCTAAGGGGTGTAATGTATTGTAGGGATTTTGTATGTTTTTGTAATGAAATAACACAGCAGCCCTTGAACAATGACTTGCATGTGTCGAGAGTCAGTGGACTGTAATGTTGCCTTACCTTGTAACGTTACTGTCTGTGAGTATTGTTTTCAGAGGCCTTAGACTGGTGTGACCGTTAACAGATAAGTCGTGGTTCATGGTTGATCATAATACAGTTTGCATATGGTCAGCAGGGATACACGAGTCATTCAGGCACACAGATCATAATTCTACAGCCTCTTTATTGTAGCAGTCTGAAAAAGTTATAGGGGAGGTAGAATATCTGTAAATGCAACAGATTCATGGCTGTTTTTGTCCTCTTTAATATGTTCATCCTAAGCTTCACTCGATTTCATTTTTGAAGTTGATTTTAATTGAAGTATAAACTATGAGGTTAAAGTTACATTATTTGTAATGTTGCCAATATTGCACTCCTGTTGGACTTAAACTGACAACTAGTGGGATGAATGTGGAACCATTTTTTTAGTAACCCGTGTCTCTGTAGAAATGCACTGTTTGCATTCAGCCATGTTTAATTTATGACGCAATTGAAAGTGTCCAATAACGGGCAGCTAACAAGTTTAACGAGCTGTAAATAAATTTTTTTTAAAGAAAATGTTAGTTTTATTCAGCAAGGCTGCATTAAATTGATCAAAAGTGACAGTAAAGACTTTTACATTGTTACAAAAAATATCACTGTTTGTTTCCACAAAAATATTACACAGCTCAACTGTTTTAACCTTGATAATAATAAGAAATGTTTCTTGAACACCAAATCAGCACATTAAAATTATTTCTGAAGGATCATGTGATTTGAGACTTGAGTAATGGAGTAAAATTTAGAAAAGTTACTTTTATTAATAATAATGTTTTACTTTTTTTTTACTGCATTTTTATGTATCAAATAAATGCAGCCTTTGAGCATGAGATCTCTTTCAAAAACATTTTTAAAAATCTTACCGACCCCAACTCTTTTGAACAGTAGTGTACACAAATAAAAAAACTTGTCATCACGCCAGTTGAATCAGATGAAATACTGTTGTATCCTAATGTTTCTCTTCCTATTAAAAGACCTTTCAGGTGATGGCAAGAGTCTAATGTGCAATAACAGGAAATGGGAAACTCTTCCCAGCATATTTAGAGACTGTGAGAAGGCAATCACTGTGCACAGAGAGTATAATTTGCTGACTGAAAGAGAACAAGAAGCTTTAACAATGTGTTTTTCCCCACTCCACAATCTCTAAGAAACATCAGTGAAGGTATCAGCAGGACAGGGACTCGACTTCCTCTTATTGCCCTGCGCTTGCACTTTTTCACTATCCTACCTCCCTTTATTCTCTTCCTTACTTTTCTTGTGGAGTGCTTATGAATCTTTGTTTCTCTTCTGCTGCAGGAGAACCGAGGCTTGGGATCCAAGATGACAGACTCCAAATATTTCACCACAACCAAGAAAGGTCTGGTGTTTTCCGATTTACTTTAAAGAAAGCTGTTTTGGGATTAGTATATCACATTAAGTCAGTGAGATTAAGTCCTGTAATGTGTGTCTGTTGTGGTCAATGCAGATCATCAACTGCACTGCACCATTAAACATTTAAATCCTGATAAATAGAACAACATTTAGCACTTTGTTACATATTCCTGCTTTTTTTATTTTTTTATTCTGCAGAACATGGTATACTAGCGGGGACTAATATTGCGTAATATTGTGTGGCAGTCTAAATCAGTCACATGATTGTGCCAGAAGTATTTTTAACTGCAAATAGAGCCGCATGTAACTTGGTCAAAGCCAAGAAAAACAGTGAACACCGAATTATGATTGAATCATTGTCTTCTCTTTTATTGCATAAGGAAAACAGTTTTTTGAAAGCACATTATTGTCATTCACGGGTTATGTGACATCTAAAAAAAGTCATAAATGTTTGTGGTCTTGTGTGTCAGGCGAGATCTTTGAGCTGAAGGCAGAGCTCAACAGTGATAAGAAAGAGAAGAAGAAGGAGGCAGTGAAGAAGGTCATTGCGTCTATGACAGTGGGAAAAGATGTCAGGTAAGACAAGCCGTGTTTCACAGTGAAGTATAAATGTCTGACTCTTTTACAAGATGTTTTATATGCTATATCATCCATCCTGTTTCTCTTATGGAGTTTTGATCTTAATATCTTTGTCCCCAGTGCTCTGTTTCCTGATGTTGTGAACTGCATGCAGACGGATAATCTGGAGCTGAAAAAGCTGGTTTATCTGTATTTGATGAATTATGCCAAGAGCCAACCAGACATGGCCATTATGGCAGTCAACACCTTTGTAAAGGTAAGGTTCAGAGACATCAGTGAAACGGCTTAATAGTTTTATTCTAAGGCATTTATTAGTATTTTAAATATATTGTGATGCAGTTTGCACAGGCTATAGATATTACGTATTATTTTACTTTCCAATGCAGAAAACTTAAATGTTGGCAAAAGCATGTCGTCGGATAAGATAACCAGTTATGACACATTCACTTGTAGGGACGTAACATCAACAATATGTTTTACATTGACTAAGGCCTGCCCATACTTTGACTACAAACTTGGTCCTCAAATCATTACGTATTTTGCAATACATGTAATGTAACTTAATAACGTTGCACCCTTTCTATAAGTTATAAGATAATATAACGGTAACTAACGTAACAGTATGTAAGTAATTATTCAAGCGATATGTAGGCCTAATGCTAGATAAGGTTTGCTAGTACATTATTTCAGCAACATGACAAGCCAGTGAATTAGCAAGTTTCAATTGTTGCTTTGCACAGTCAGTGCGTGACATTTTATCTACATGTTACGCGGCTAGAGTTTTGACACCGAGTCAATGGGCTCTGTCTAATTCTTTCTTTTTCGCTTGTTTATCGTCATCGTTTTTTTTTCCTTTTACCCGTCTTAGTTTTATGAACGGGTCCCACTCGAGAAATTGGCAGTTTAGGTTGTTTCTCCGCCATTAGCACAGCTGCGGCACACCGGCAATCTCGAGTTTGAACGACGGTACGCGCTGTGCAAGAGAGGGGTGTGATCAGCGCGTACACGAACGTGATTGACACTGCTAAGACATTCCTCCTGGCTCTGATTGGTTGTTTCTGACCGGGAGCGGTGTATTTCTGCAAATGGCAATAGGACCACTGGGAGGAGCCAGAGGAGCTTGATTTTTTTCACAGATTATCTGTCTCATATTCTACTGTCAGGACATAATGGCAGTTTTAACAAATATGTAAAAAATATTTTTTTACAAAAGTTACCTACAGCAGCTTTAATAGCTTCTGTTTTCATTCACATTTTCATTTTCATTCACAAACTTACAGGACAAACATATAGGCTATGCATTTATTTATATTATGAAAAGAAAGTTGAACAAAGACACTTCTCAGTTTTCATCTTGAGCAGTTGTCGTGGTATTTTCATAAGGACAATGTATATTTATAATGCAATGCCAATTAACATAGCCTTTATCATTGTATATAATACAAAAAAAAAAAAAAAGATTTCTGCCTTATACTTTGATAAGAAGCCACATCAGAGAAGGAAGTTATTTCAAACTTGTTGCCATTAAATGTAATTGTTACTTTGTATGCAATGGTGTTCTTCAAAAAAAGAAAAGAAAGAAGAAGAGTAAAGATGAATTTGACTGAGAGCATTATTATTATTTTTTTCCAAGATTTCTATAGATATCGCAATATATTGCTATCGTGAATTCTTTTGGCCATGTAGTCATGCAGTGAATCTGAATATCGTGACAGCCATAGTATGTGCATTATAAAATGCACTCTAAAGTTCAGACAGATGAAACCCACATTCTGGACAGCAAAGTGCTTTAAAGGCACGCCATAAGCCTGGCAACAGCAGAGAAACTTTCGTCTCTCTGAGTACTAGAATAGTCAGTCTTTACAGGAGGGTGCAGTGTGCTCCATCAGCACTAATGAGTTTTTGCTGGCTTTACACACACCTGAGAATGGAAAGAGAGACACATTATTACCAAAGCAACTAACTAGACTGAAGATTAAAGCAAGAAGAGCAAGTAAGCCATTAGGCCTATCACAGCAAATTAGAAAACAGAAGAAAAAATGTTTCCAGCTCTTTGAGAATCTGTTATGTATTACGCATCTGTGTTTTTATTTATCTCGTTTTCAACATCACTAAAACTTTCACAGAAACAGAGTGTTTTTAAACTGCCATAATATTTGATAATATTAGTGTTTATACCGTAATTTGATCAAATAAAGCTGCCTTGGTGAGAGACATTTTTCAAAAAACATTTTGAACTGTAGTGTGTATCCGACAATGTCTATGTTTTGGTGTAATGTGTGTTGGTTATATGCTCTCTTCTGCAGGACTGTGAGGACCCAAACCCTCTGATCCGTGCGCTGGCTGTGCGCACCATGGGCTGCATCCGAGTGGACAAGATCACGGAGTACCTGTGTGAACCTCTGAGGAAGTGTCTGAAAGATGAAGACCCCTACGTGAGGAAGACTGCTGCAGTTTGTGTTGCCAAGCTCCATGACATTAACGCCCAGCTGGTAGAAGACCAGGGCTTCCTGGACACCCTAAAAGACCTGATCTCTGACTCAAACCCCATGGTGAGGCACAACATTAGTATTTCAAATCTAAATGCTGGTTAGATACTGGCAATATTCTTGAGAATACTCTCTGAACTAAGGCAAAAATAATATAATAAGAGTGTATTTGTTAATTCAAGCTAATTGTTATCCAGTTGTTCCAAACCTGTATGAGTTTCTTGTTGAACACAAAAGAAGATATTTTGAATAATGTCAGTAATCAAACAGTTGACAGTAGCCATTGACTTCCATAGTAGGAAAAAATATATAATGGAAGTCAATGGCTACTGTCAACTGTCTGGTTACCAACATTTTTAAAACATCATCTTTTGTGTTCAACAGAAGAAAAACTCTTAAAGGTTTGGAACAACCGGAGAGTGAGTAAATTACACCATATTACAATAATGTTATATATATGGCAGATTGTCCCTACACTTAACTGTTTTTCATAATCAAAGTGATTCTAGGCATCACTGGGCACTTTCAAATCCATAGTTTCCTTTTATTATCCAGACTGGATGGCATGCTGTCCTAACTAACCAATCAGACCTCAGGTACCCCCCAAAATGCCGCAATAACCCATAAGATAAAAAAGAAATATATTTTTTAAAGTCACGGCGATCATTGTTTTTATGATCGATTGTCGCTGTCACATCACAGTACTCCTGCACAACCCTGCATGCCAGTGTCATTTATCTCTCTCTTAGTCTCCATGGTGTGTAATTACATGCTTTTGTTGTGCGAAACTTGAGGCCGTGCACACACACTACCACTGTATTGAGTTTAATCCCTTTGTTTTGTTTTTTTTCCTCCATTAGGTGGTAGCAAATGCAGTTGCGGCTCTGTCCGAGATAGCAGAATCTCATCCTAACAGCAACCTTCTGGACCTGAATCCTCAGACCATTAATAAGCTTCTGACAGCCCTTAATGAATGCACTGAATGGGGTCAGATCTTCATCCTCGACTGCCTGGCCAACTACACACCCCGTGACGACCGCGAGTCACAGAGGTCAGAGGGGAATGTTATTTCATCACTCCTGTGTGATGGACTCTAAATGGATTCTCTAATGAAGTCTACATAATACATAGACACTAGCTTCACTAATAAAGCTGATCCAGTGTAGTTCTTGGTATTGGCATTGATTGCCCAATCTAAATCTGAATCTAATTGACCTAGAATTGAATCAGTGTTGATTCGGTTAGGGATTTTAAGAATCTATATTGGATTGTTCAAATGTAGATTGTAATTAATTGGAAATCATTATTTTTACCAGTCTTATTTCAGGCAACCGAAACTACCCAGTATGTATTTACCCTTAAAGATTTGATTTTAGTCTGCCTTGTTGAAGCATGTTTCTCACTGTCCTCCCACAGTATCTGCGAGCGTGTAACTCCACGGTTGTCCCACGCTAACTCTGCCGTGGTGCTGTCTGCCGTGAAGGTTCTGATGAAGTTCATGGAGATGCTTCCTAAAGATCTAGACTATTACGGCACCCTGCTAAAGAAACTTGCTCCTCCCTTGGTCACGCTCCTCTCAGCTGAACCTGAACTGCAGTATGTTGCCCTGAGGAACATCAACCTCATCGTACAGAAACGGTAGGTGCAAAGCTGAGGAAAATACATTTGTTTATACAAAGTGATGAAGGTTTGGGGATTTAAAAAGTTAAATGCACAAAACAAAATAAAAATCTTTTCATTTTTATGTGTTTCTACCAGCCCTGAAATTCTAAAGCATGAGATGAAGGTATTCTTTGTGAAATATAATGATCCGATCTATGTCAAGCTGGAGAAGCTGGATATCATGATCCGCCTTGCGTCTCAGGCCAACATTGCTCAGGTGAATAAAACGCACACTCACACCCCTACACTTCATTTGAAATATGATCTCTGCCTGATCCTTTATGTTCATACATTTTTATATCACACCACCCAAACACAGTGGAGTCCAAAAGTCTGAGATTATTAGTGTAAATACTTCTGTTGTATGTTTAAATAATTTTTTAATACAATTTATATTATCAACATAACAATTTGAGTGAAAAGTGACCTGTCAAATCAACATGAATGTCAGAAATCAGAATGTCTTAGTATTTGGTTTGTCACTTTTTTGCTTTAATGACAGCTGTACTGAAACTGCATGAAATAAGTAGTGTTTTTAGTTTTTCCTGAAAATATTGATATTGTAGCATTCCATGGACTTTAAAAGGCATATTTTTGATCTGCCCAATTTTCGATGTCATGAGACTGATTTTGATCAGATCAAACTTGTTTTTTTAAGATGGACCATTATAATTTTTATCAAGTACAAATAAATAACCTTTAATAGAGTAAACTTGTTTAGTATTTTTTTAATGTATTAAATGTTTGTATTTATTGAATGTAGAATCTGTATCTGCCATGAAATAGCCTGTGAAGCTGAAATGGCAAACTTTTTTCAATCCTATTTGTCAACATCACTCACTTTTGAAGCTCATTGTGTCACATCAACATTTGAAATGTGCTTCTGAGAGTCTGTGTTAAATTTATGTGTGTTTGGGTTGTGTAGGTGCTGGCTGAGCTGAAGGAATATGCCACTGAAGTGGACGTAGACTTTGTGCGTAAAGCTGTACGAGCCATTGGCCGCTGCGCTATTAAAGTAGAGGTGAGCTGGCCTAACCCCGAATAAGATAACAGATTGCCAGTGTTAATTAAGTTAGTAATAGTGTTAACATTGGCAATCATGTTCATTTTAATTGTAAAGTGCACCGCTCCTAATGAAAGGATTCAACCTGATGTGAAACAAAAGCCAACTGCTTAATTGGTTCATTTTTGGATGATCCCATTTATGCAAATCAGCTGATCTGTCTTTCGGTCTCTCCTGTCTTCATTACAGCAATCAGCAGAGCGTTGTGTCAGCACGCTGCTTGACCTCATTCAGACCAAGGTCAATTATGTGGTGCAGGAAGCTATTGTGGTCATCAAGGACATCTTCCGCAAATACCCCAACAAGTAGGTTTCTCATCTGTTTGCTATACAATTTCCCCTGACCCTTTTGCCAATGAAGCTGTTTCTCAAAACTGCATCCTATTTCTGTTTGGCTAAGGTTCGTTATTCAGATGTTCATATGTTCGAAGATCTATTGTCCTGGCACAGCCTCTGTTCCGCCCTGCCTTTCATTCTCAAATATGTTGAAGAAACATTTAATAAAGATTCAGTGAACCCAGCCTCCCCCACTGTCACTTTGCTATTTTTTGCAGCTTCATTGTGGCTTTCTTCTTTATTGTGCTGTTAGGTACGAGAGTGTGATTGCCACCCTGTGTGAGAACCTGGACTCTCTGGATGAGCCTGAGGCCCGGGCAGCCATGATCTGGATTGTGGGAGAGTACGCAGAGAGGATTGACAATGCCGATGAGCTGCTAGAGAGCTTCCTGGAAGGCTTCCATGATGAGAGCACACAGGTGAAGTGCCTTTCAAATCACTTATTAAAGTGCTCGCTTATGAAATAAGTAACAGCTGTTTTTCTGTTGTATTAAAGGGATAGTTCACCTGAAAATGAAAATTCTGTCATTAATTACTCGCCCTCATGTCATTCCAAACCAGTAAGAGTTTCGTTCATCTTCGGAACACAAATGAAGATATTTTTGATGAAATCTGAGAGCTTTCTGTCCCTCCATGGACAGCTACGAAACTGACACTTTGACGCTTCAAAAAGTTCATAAAGAGATTGTAAAACTAATCCATATGAATTAAGCAGTTTAGTCCAAATTTTCGGAAGATGCTCGATCGCTTTATATGATGAACAGATTTAATTGAGGCTTTTCTTACCATATAAACATTGCTCAGCGAACATAAACAGAAACTCAACCGAACCTGCTTGACGTGCGAGAACACGAGTTGTTAACACATGAGAATGAACCTCATTTATACTCGCACGTCAAGCTAACATGCTTGAGCTTTCGTTTACCACAACTGATTTGCGAGTTGATGAATGTTTATATGTGAATAAAAGCCTATATTCAATCTGTTGTTCATATAAAGCGATCGTGTCTCTTTTTGTGGACTAAACCGTTCATGGAGTAGTTTTACAATCTCTTAATGAACTTTTTGAAGTGTCTAAGTGTCAGTTGCGTAGTTGTCAATGGAGGGACAGAAAGCTCTCAATTTCATTAAAAAAAATCTTCATTTGTGTTCTGAAGATGAACTAAAGTCTTACAGGTTTGGAACGACGTGAGGGGGAGTAATTAATGAGTTTTTAATTATCATTTTTGGATTAACTATCCCTTTAAGTAGACTTGTGTTATGTAAGCATTGTATTAAGATTCCTCTATTAGCATAAAGAAAATCTCACAGAGGAATAGGGAGACTTTTTGCTGTGGTATGAAAATTGGTGTTTAGAATTTCTAATACTTTGGTATCATACCATAATACTCTAGTGAATACTGTAATGAACTTGCATGAACTTGTCTCTTGGGAGGTAGTGTTACAGGATTTGTCTCTGTGTTAAGGTTTTTTCATGCTCCCCTCTCAGGTGCAGCTGCAGTTGCTGACGGCTATTGTGAAGTTGTTCTTGAAGAAACCCACTGAGACCCAGGAGCTGGTGCAACAAGTGCTCAGTCTCGCCACACAGGTGAGATATCCACACAGACGGTTATCAAAGCACACATTTCAGTGAGAAAATGACACTGTACCTATACTTGCTCACACATTCAAGGGCACTCACTGGAGGTGTTGTTGCCATCCTCAAACTGCACATCTCATAAGCAAAGCCATTTGGCTTGCTGAATCACTCCAAAGAAAACGAGATATTCACAGTTGTTACTCAACACCCTGACGTATTTATCCTTTTTAACATGCTGTAATTGTTGCATTTTGTAACCACAGGCAGACAATAAGAGGATCATCAAATCAGAAAACATTACTTTTGATTTGTAAACATGTCTCAAATGAATGTCAAATTCACAGGAAACAAAAGATGATTATGTAACCACGAGGATTAGTGTCCTACTCCTGTGCCTCTCTTAGACATAATCTGCTCCTCCTTAATATATTATGTGCATGCATGTACATAATTGTGTCACATAGCAATTTAAACAGTAGAGCACTCTGATGGTCCCGGAGGGTTCAAGCTTTTGGGTCAGAACCTGAAACCCTGCATTAGATCAAAACAGCAGGTTTATGACAGGTTTATTTTTATTAAACATACATTTTTAATGCTAGTAAGCCTTGCTTTCTTCCTCTGTGCCAGTTATGAATTGGATTGTTTCTAAATCACTGTAATTCATCAGGGTAATTAACAATTTCTTTGCATCATTAGCAGCTTTACAAGCTTTTCCTTTTAATTAAACAATTCCGTTACAGAATATGGACACCTGCAATATTTTCAGTGTCAGAGAGCACTGCGTATTCTTTCGTATCCTTATCTTGCTTGATGAGCAAGAACCAATTAAGTTTGTTCTCATGGATCAAGCAAGCAATCATGTTTGATCTTGTGTGTAGGTGCATTGATCAATATGTGATTACAAATATGTGAATTATATGTAATTAAAAGCCTAAAAATCCATTAATAAATACCAATATCAATTCTTAAATTCCAAAAACTAATACCAAAAATAATCTTTTCATTTATGCTGTTTTCTGTTGATGCATGACCAAAACTTCACTAAACATCATTTTATGTCAGCATGACTCCCATACAATAACCACAATAGGCTTTGTTACTTTCAATATAAATCAAAACTTACAGAATTTGAAAGCTAAGACTTTATCACAAAATTCAAACCATAAATACAGTTTTGATGCTCTTTAATTTGGCCTGACAAATCATTGAAAATATTGATTACTTAGAATAGTTTAATGTTTGTGTGTAAGAGCTAGGGAGCATTTGTGTGATCTCATTAATATTCAGAGAAGCCATAAACTTGTGCTGTCAGACTGGGATCTGAGATTGCATCTTGTCATTATTAACTTTGAGATTCAGTGCCACAGGCTGTACTCGCAGCCAAGGTTCTATCAGAATACCAAATGTCCTTCTTCATCCCAGGTGCCATTTTATGGCCTTCAGATCTAATTCTCTTACCGCTGTCTTGCTCTGCTGGCGCTCCACTTGATCTTATCACACAGATGAATTGGTGCTTAGGAGTTTTGCATTATTTACATAAGACTTTGTCCTTCAGTTGATTTTTTTGTTGTTGAAAAGAACAGTCACTTGTACTGCTTCATTTTCTCTTCCTTATATACTCGCATCATAAATAGCATATGATTCCCCTCGGTTTTCGACTGGTCAGTTTCACTTTCCCTGAATTTTGCTTGTTTTAACTTTGCAGGATTCTGATAACCCTGATCTGCGTGACCGTGGCTACATCTACTGGCGTCTGTTATCTACAGACCCTGTGGCAGCTAAAGAGGTGGTGCTGGCCGAGAAGCCTCTGATCTCAGAGGAGACAGACCTGATTGAGCCCACCCTGCTGGAGGAGCTCATCTGCCACATTGGTACTCTGGCCTCAGTCTACCACAAACCCCCCAGCGCTTTTGTGGAGGGCAGCCGTGGCGTTCAGCATAGGAGACTTCCTCCTCGTGCTGGCTCGTGAGTCTCTGATTTGTTACTTTTCTTATATTATTTTAGAATAGTTTGCCTCGCGTAGGGATGTGCATTTCTGCCAAAAATGCCATTCGACAATCGAGGAGCAAAAGTCGAATATCGTAAAAAAAAAAAAAAAAAAAAAAAAAACCCGCAATGACAGAAAGGGAGGCCAATTTCATCTTTAGTGATTTGTCATCAAACAAACTGTTTATTAATTGAACAAGTAACATGTTTTCGTCCTTTTTTTTTAACATAGTAGGCTAATTGGAAGAAGAAGAAAAACAATACGCACGACAGTCTGTTTTTGCATCGCCAATGCTCGTTAGATCAAAAAATAATGTCATCATATGTCATAAGAATTTTATGGAGTGGGGGTTCAATCTTCAACTGGCTGGCAGGAGCCGCCACTGGCAGGTCACGTGACCTGTCAGTGGCTGGCTGGCAGCTGCCAGTTTGCCAGTGGCAGCTGCCAGTCTGCCACTGACAGTTGCCAGTCTGACACTGGCAGCTGCCAGTCAGCCACTGACGTGCAGTGGCTGACAGTGGCTGGCTATAGTAGTCTATTTGGCAAGTTTCAGAAACCATCGATTTTGGACAGTTTTTGTGTTTTGTGTTCCTCCCTTTCTAGCTCATTTATTATGAATCTGTTGATATGAATAATGTTCTTTAGTATGATTGCTGTTTTGTGAACTGTTATCCCAATATAACCAGTCAAATGGCCGTGATCAGACTGGCAGCTTACAGACGCTCGCTGGACGCTCATCCAGTCAGCCGCGGCTGCGAGTCTAACGCGTCGCCTGACGCTCTCGCTACAAGGAAATAAATTGTTTTCTTTTTATAAATATAATGCCATGCCTTTATTCTTGTGGAGGAATGATGTTTTGTGAACTGTTATCCCAATATAACCAGTCAAATGGCCGTGATCAGACTGGCAGCTAACAGACGCTTGCTCGACGCTCATCCAGTCAGTCGCGGCTGATAGTGCGAGTATAACGCGTTGCCTGACACTCTCGCTGCATGGAAATAAATTGTTTTCTTATTATGAATATAATGTCATGCCTTTATTCTTGTGTATGATTGATGTTTTGGGGACTGTTATCCAAATATAACCAGTCAAATGGCCGTGATCCGACTGGCAGCTTATAGACGCTTGCTCGACGCTCATCCAGTCAGTCGCAGCTCATAGTGCGAGTATAACGCGTTGCCTGACACTCTCGCTGCATGGAAATTAATTGTTTTCTTATTATGAATATAATGTCACACATCTATTCTTGTGTATGATTGATGTTTTGGGGACTGTTATCCAAATATAACCAGTCAAATGGCCGTGATCCGACTGGCAGCTTACAGACGCTTGCTCGACGCTCATCCAGTCAGTCGCGGCTCATAGTGCGAGTATAACGCGTTGCCTGACACTCTCGCTACAAGGAAATAAATTGTTTTCTTATTATGAATATAATGTCATGCCTTTATTCTTGTGTATGATTGATGTTTTGGGGACTGTTATCCCAATATAACCAGTCAAATGGCCGTGATCCGACTGGCAGCTTACTGACGCTTGCTCGACGCTCATCCAGTCAGTCGCGGCTGATAGTGCGAGTATAACGCGTTGCCTGATACTCTTGCTGCAAGGAAATGAATTGTTTTCTTATTATGAATATAATGTCATAATATTCATTCAATCTTCAACTGGCTCCTGCCAGCCAGTTGAAGATTGAACCCCTACTGATTTTATGTGAACCTGCCTTGTTACTGCAATAGCCTCATTTTTAAACAAATTAGTTTCAATCAATGTAAACTATTCGTGTGATTATGCCACTGCGCAATACACGCGCAATACACACACAATGTATTACCTGAATGAAATGAAATCGAATGTATCGTCCTGTGGAATCATTCATTCACAGACAGCAGAAGATGTTCAACTAATAAAGATCTTCATCGCTGGCAAAAATATGATGCATTTGCAGATTTGCATTCACTAGACTAGACTGTAACTCTACAGTAATGTCTTCTGACTTCTACTAGACTCTATTTTTTAAATATAGATATATAAACTTTAAATTTAGTTTTCATTTATTTTTATTTCAGTTTTACATTTATTTATTTCCAGTCAATAATTGTTTTTTACATTTTACATATTTTATTTTAAAATGTGTTTTAATGCATTTAGATTTTTTTTATTTAAACTAAAAAGATGTATTTATTTTTTTAATAAATGATTTGATAATCTCTCTCTCTCTCTCTCTCTCTCTCTCTCTCTCTCTCTCTCTCTCTCTCTCTCTCTCTCTCTCTCTCTCTCTCCTCTCTCCTCTCTCCTCTCTCCTCTCTCCTCTCTCCTCTCTCCTCTCTCCTCTCTCTCTCTCTCTCTCTCTCTCTCTCTCTCTCTCTCTTAGTGTTGAGAGTGCCGAGAGCCCTGAAGTTGGCCAGTCTGGACCTTCTGAAGCTCCATCCGCTGTCATTCCATCACAGGGTGATCTCCTGGGTGACCTGCTGAACCTGGATCTGGCCCCGCCCACTGCCACTGTTCCTTCAGTGCAGCCCTCAATGCAGATGGGAGCCATGGACCTACTGGGAGGAGGTCTGGATAGTCTGGTATGTTTATCTCAAGCTGCCTCTCACTTTGCTCCAAACATAATCATCCCTTTATGGTGAAATTAGATTAATTAAGAGGAAACATAGAGTAATTACTAGAATGAATATACCCATCTGTTCCTTTAACAGTCTGTGTGTGCGTATACAGAAGCATGCAGGCTTTCGGTAATGTGTTTGTCAGTTGTTCAGCTTGCACGTTTTGTAGGACATTTATTTTGTGTCGCTGTTGACAGGTTCCAGAGCTACTTAACAAAGTCGAGATCATCCAAGTGGATTCTGATCCCAGATCAGCCCCCTCACCCTTAAACACACATCCAAAGTCCCTTAACCAGTGTAATTGTGTCTGTTGAGAAATCACAGATGGTCTAGCATAATTAGAGTTTACTTTCCTTGTCTGTATTTCCCCTCTGGTCTTCTCTTTCTCTTTTTTGACTTTCTCTCCCTTTTTCTTTTTTTCTTTTTTTGTTCCTGTCTTTTTTTCTCTCACTACACTTGCAGATGGGCGATGAATCAGATACGGTAATACAACTAAGTGAAAGAAGAAGCAGACACTTTCATATCATGCCATTTCATTAGTCTAAATGGGATCTGTATATTAGTAGGGGAAACCAATGTACTCTTCACACCAACAAAGGGCTGCTTCAGCTACTTCCATTTACAGCCCCAGCAATGTGCTGTTATTTACAACCACTTGTTTTTTCTGTGTTTATAGAGTGTCAACATTAGTAAAATATCTCCAAGATGGTTGTGAATTGTTTGTGTTGTCATCACACACCTTGTATGAAAAATCTTGGACTTAATGCAACCACATTTTTTTCTTTTCTATTAGTTATTTTAATAGTTTTAATAACTGTAAAGTTATTATAGAGTCATATAAATCCCCAGCATCATTCCCCTCATTCCTTCTGATTTAATTCATTGGAAGTGTTTCATCCATTTCTCGTTCCTCTATCAGCCGGGTGTTTCCCACAGGACAGAGGTGCATTCTCCCCAGCCATCATCTGATTATAGTGAGAGAGAGGTCGGTGTGGGTGTTCTCACCTTTTGAGTTCATCCTTAAAAAGTCTGTACTGATCTTAGTCTAGTCCCTGTTGCCCAACATAAACTAGTCTCTCAGATCAGTATGAAGAAACCCTAAGAGCACCTTTCCTCTTTTATTTTATTTCAGTATTTGAGGTTGTAGTGGTAGTTTTAGTCACACACAAGTAGGCACGTCTCATACAAAATGAAATGTTGAAAGTAGGAGTGGGCGATATGACCAAAATCTTATTTCACAATACGAGTCATTATATGTCACAATAATAATGATATATATATATTACAATATAGTTATTTTACAATATAAACAATAGGACAAATACAATAAATCAATGACAGCAACAGTGCTTTAAGTATTTCAGGTACAGTAGGTCTATTTGACAGTAGCATTCAAATAAGGAATACTACAGAAATTGAATGATCAAATGTAAAATAAAACACTGCATAGTCTTCGCTGTATGAATTAAATATATGCTGATTCTTATTAAAGCTACAGAAGTTGCTCAGTCAAGAGCAGTGATTGATTCTTTGTTTTTTCTTTTTTCTTCTTTCCTATTTTTAAGGGCATAGACAGCAGCAGGTATATTAGGTTACTGTCACTTTAAGACTTAATACACCGATCCAGTATACTGACAAACATCCAAATTCTTTCCTAACTGTTTGTTTACTTAAGACATAAGTGGCTTTTGCACCCAAGGAACCTTTTTCATAGTTCCAAGTACCCCTTTTTTGGCGTGTTCGCACCGCCAAGGTTCTAGTAACGCCTTTTGAGGGAACTAAATTAGCTCCTACTTCAGAGTAGGGTCTAACATAGCATAACAAGAACTACCAGTGACGTAAGTGTTCGCTAAATGCCCGAACGCACGTGAAAAAGCTGTGTAGCCTATATTATAGCCTATATATTATATACTATATAATATAGATTATAGCCTATATATTTATTCACAAACTAACTCTACAAATATGGAAAACAGTGATAGATTGACCTCTCAAACTTTATGCTAAGGAGAAAATCCAATGCAACTTTGAGGGGACCAAACAAAACATGATTATGTATTTCTGCTCAGCTAGAAACATTGGACATCAACCACACAGCAAATGCTAATACTTTTTAATACACTGTCTACTTTCTTTGTATAACAGTTCTATCTAATAACGTATTAAACAAGACTGGTAAAACAGTTCTTCAACTTAAGATGGAGAATGAGAGCGTTGTGTGTTCAGGCTCTGGCGTTCTCAGTGCCGTCAAAATAAATGTCTGCCACACTGTCAAAATAAAAGTCACAACATCAAGCGTGGCTTGCATCACTTCAGAGTTTCTGCGGGCGGTGCAAATGCAACCAGGAAAATAGCCAAAGGCGAACATTTGGTTCACAGGGAACCATAGTTCCTATAACCAAGTTCCTATAACTATTCGGTGCGAAAGCCCCTATAAACGACTGTGTTTACATGGATACTCGCCAAGACAGGCATTTTGAAAATGTTGTGTGCATTTGACCATTCAAGCGCAATAAGCCATGAAAAAGAATGCAGCTTTGTGTAACTAATTTTTCATGGCTTATTGCACTTAATAACTCTTTTTAACATAATGCACATCACACTCTTTATTTTCTCATTCATGCATGCTGCTTTATCACTCTAACGTGTCAAAAAACTTAAACAATCCTGTGTTACACAGATATATTTGCATACTGCAATATAAACAATACAACAAAGTTGTTATCAATAGACACTTCACATCGCCGCCCACATATAATCATATCGCCCATCCCTAATTGAGAGTCATTAGAATGTAAAAAAAGTACAGAAACTGTCTCTTGAGATGTCTCACAACTTCCTTAGCAGCTCACTGACTTCAACCCACTGAGCTAGTTCCCCGTTCATCAACCACGTCATAATTATCACCATCTTTCATGCTCACTGATCCTTACTTTTTGTCCTCTCTCTGTTCCCAGCTGGGAGGAGACATCGGCGGAAGTCCTTCGGTAAGTCAGACAAAGAGTTTTAGCAAAGTTCACCCAGACTTTGATGAATGTGCTTCATCCGAGGAGTATTAGCATCAACAGAGGGGTTTGCCTTCATTAATCAAAGAGCTGTTAAATTCCTCCTCCATGTCTTTAATCTTAGTTCATTTCTTTGCTTGTCTCTTTCCTGATGATAGAAAAGTTGTAATAGGTTGTAATGCTTGTCTCCCTCTGCTCAGATGGGTGCCGGTCTGGGGGCGGCCCCAACAGCCATGCCTGCTGCTCTCGGTGGTGCTCCTGCTGTTGGAGGTGGATTGGGTGACCTTTTTGACCTTGGTGGGGGTGTTGGCATGCCAACAGGATTCTACGTTGTTCCTAAAACTGTAAGTATAGAATCAATCAATATTCTCAATCAATAACTTTATGACTTCAGCAGTCTTTTATAAGCAGTTTCCCCGCTTTAAGTCAATTTGTAATGCAGCAGCGTTTCCAGGACTTTTGGGGGCGTACACACAAAATGTGCTGTGGTGTTCAATAAAAGCTTGACATATTCCAACAGAATGCTGAGCACATTTTTTTTATCTTAAAAGAAAAAAGAATTGGCTTAAAAATGCAACTCTTATGGAGACGCTTAAAAAAACAGCAATGTGCAATGCAATGGCCTAAAATGTCCATCTGATGCATGTGTACACAGATAACTTTAAAGGTCCCGTTCTTCATGTTTTTTTGAAGCTTTGATTGTGTTTACAGTGTGCAATATAACATGTGTTCATGTTTCGCGTGTAAAACACAGTATTTTTCACACAATTTACTTATCTGTATACCGCTGTTTTCACTGTCCAAAAAACGGCCTGATGACTTCCTTGTTCTATGAAGTCCCTCCTTCAGAAATACGTAACGAGTTCTGATTGTGCCAGCGGTTCCTGTGTTGTGATTCGACAGCAGCTTATCGCACGTTGCCCGGAAAGGTCACGCCTCTTACCATAAATTGCGCAAAATGCGCAGCTGAAGTGCTTCTTCTCCGTGGGAGCGCAACAAGACCACGCCCCTTTTTTGTGTATTCCTGTGGGCGGAGATTAGTCAAAAAACTGTTCTAGTTACGTCATTAAAAAAGGAAGTAGAGGGATGTAGTCCAAACCGGCCGTTCGCTGTATGCTTTGAAAGGGGACTTCTGTTAAATAAAATATCTCGCTAGGCATTGAACTTTGAGCTTTATAATTTTACAGGTATTATTTATGCTCTAACAGCAACATTACACACTAATTAAAGTTTGAAAAATGGAATCGCGAAGAACGGGACCATTAACTTCTTTCCCTCACACTCTTAACCTGTTTATCTGTGGGTTCAGCTGTGGTTACCGGCAATGAAGGCTAAAGGGCTCGAGATTTCTGGGACATTTGCCCGACGCGGTGGGATCATTCAGATGGATATGTCTCTCACCAACAAAGCCATGAGCGTCATGACTGACTTCGCCATTCAGTTCAACAGGAACAGGTGAGTCCAGAGGCAGAACGGGAGACTGGGATGGAGATTGTTTTGGAGGTCTCTTCAAGGTTTTGCTTTTCTCTTTGCAGTATCTTCTGTGTTTCCTAATCAGTTTGGAGACCTGACTGGAAAACATCATGTTCATGTTCAATTTATAGATTTTTAGAATGGTGCATTCTCACTGCCACAATGCTAGGCTGTTGTGAGTGAATTATTTATTCATTTATATAGCGCATTTCCTATGTACTAGTGTGCAGCATCCACTTAGATGATGCAATGGCAGCCACAGTACAATGGCGCCAGTGCGCTCACCACACACCGGCTATAGGTGGAAAGGAGAGAGAGTGATCGAGCCAATTCAGTTGATGGGGATTATTAGGGGGCCATGATTGATAAGGGCCAATAGAGGGAATGTGGCCAGGACATGTGTTTCTATGTAGTTGCTAAGGTGACTGGGTGGTTGATTACTTATCCAAGTTGAAAGCCTACACCACTAAGTCTCTGATATTCATGTTCCTGGAAGGTCCCTCTGGAAGTGTACATATTTAAACATTTGTTTTATCATCTATGTTTTGAAACTAATTTACAGGTTGTGGAAGATAAAACTAAATTTTGGCAACCAAAAATAATCTGCCAAATTAGTTTTTAAGAGGGCTGAAATGATTGACTGAAACAGCTTTCCTTTGACTATGTAAGTGTCTATTTTGTGCACAAAACATGGATATGCTACAAGTAAACATGTCAGCAGTGTGTACGCACTTCACCCCGACCAAAAATGATGCTAGAGTAGCAAAAATGTTTTTGGTTGAGATGTTGAGAGGTGGCTCATTGCTGAAGAACTTTACTCCAACTGGTGTATCACCCTGAACAGCATACCAAGTTCAATTATCCAATTACCCAAATTTAATGGAAACATTGTTTTTTGGCTAAAAGAAAACTTTAATTTTAAATAGATTTTTTTTTTTTAAATGATTTTGGTGTCAATAGTCTTCAGTGTTTCCCCTAGGATTTTGTTTCAGGGGGGGAGGAGGAGGGGGGGGTGGCTAGTGTTGCGGAGCGGGCGTGTTACGGATACGTGGTGTAATTTTTTTTTTTTATTAATTGAAATCATGTATTATGAATCATTAAACTTGTACATTTTGTACACAAACATTTTTTTTTTTAAATATATGGAAAAAAAATCACACTAATTCTGTGTTGTGTTTTTTCTGGTAATAAAATGAAGACATAAAACACAAATTTTATCATTTATTATCAATTTTAATCATATGAAATCAAATAAACTTTTTGTCAAATAACGTGCTGCACAATGAGCTTTACTGTTAAAATTAAAACATGGATTATTCCTTAAGAATTTCAGTTTTGATGATAATTTATTTGGATTAGTGTTAGTGTATTATTACATTGGGACATATCTAAATTCTAATGTACAACAGTAATATATTTCTGTCAAGTTAAACCGAACTTTTATTTTGACGGGTTGCCGTGAAGACGTTTTGAGTTTCTGTGTGTTTATGTCATGATGATAGTTTTTCTCAAATGAAGCGGTGAAATCTGAAATGCTCACGAAGTGACTTTCAGAGTGGATCTAGAGTCTGGAGAGGAAGTTCATGCATTTGTGTCTTCATATAGGCCAAAAAACAGTGCAAGCGTCACACGTGCTTCAGTGTGTGTGTGTGTGTGTGTGTGGTAAATGAAACTGCGCGTCGGCGGCACCATTCATTCACACAGAACATGCAGGATTCGTTTTTAAATAGTCTTTGTGATTTAATATTCACACACACTAGTCTACATCGCGATTTGATTTCAAGTGTACTGAACTGCTTTCTATTTTTTTCTCAAATTTACAAATTCCGTGAAATTCCGCGTTATACACTAAATTCCTTTTTTATGACTGGATTTCGTCAGCATTTTAGGGGGGGGGGGGGGTCGTTCTGGGGGGGCGGGCCGCCCCCCCCCCCCCCCAAAAACAATGGTAGGGGAAACACTGGTCTTAAATGTACACTGTAACCTTTGCCCCTCTAGCGGATAAAAAACAAAACTACATGCATTTTGCAGAAAAACATTGTTTTAGTTCTGCGTTGGCTCTGCGTGACACAACAAGATGAATGTGGTTCTTTCTCATAACTAAGAAAAGAGAGAGATTATCCTACTGATCATAAAATATTTGCTTCTAGGCTTAAGAGATATTACCAGTTTAGAGTGAAAGGATCTAAAGCTGACTAGCTGAAAAAATCACATTTTATTACGAGCTCTGTCGCATTCTCTTTTTGCCAGCAGACTTTTATAAATATAAAATGGGTGATTCTCCTAAGGTCTGAGATTTAGCATGGTCCATGTCAACCTTTCTCGCTCATTATGCCACTCACACCATACACGCATCAAAGTAGCCGGAGAAACTTTTCTCTATTTACGGATACGACGAGACGCACACGGGCGAGTGACGCATGCAAGCAATTTCCAGGAAAAAAAAACATCCTGCCTGGTCTAAAATATAAACGCTTAATAGGCTTAGCATAGTGAGTCAGGGTAAGACAAAAACATGTTTTGGAAGGATTAATGATGTATTGACTCGTTATGTAAATTTTACAAAATAAAAAACGTTACATAGTGTACCATTAACTGTGTTTCTCTGTTTTTTCTGTAGTTTTGGTCTGGCCCCTGCTGGCCCTCTGCAGGTTCTGACTCCTCTGAGCCCCAATCAGACCATTGATGTCAGTCTGCCTCTCAGCACAAACGGCCCCGTCATGAAAATGGAACCGCTCAACAATCTGCAGGTAATGTTTCCACTGCATTTCTGCACCATTATACTTCACACACAGTATAAAATGAGTGTTGTGCTGTTACTCATTTCAAGACATAAAGCAATAAAGCAAGCCCCCGGTGAGCAGCCCAGTGAGATGCAAGAGATTCCCTTAAAAAAATCATCAGTGGTTCCCTTCGGCTGCTTGGTCACTCTCATTGCTTTTGTCTGACTTTCTCCCCCTGTCAATTCATCCATGTCCATTTCAGTCCTCGATCAATCAGGGTTGTAGGTCTGCAGTGGTACAGTAATAGGTCTGAATTAGCTGCACCTTATTATCTCTCTCAGTGGATCGTTCACATTGCTCTCCAGTGACTGCATTTGGGGAATAAATCACAAAGCCCACAGACTACAAGGCACGGCATATGCATTGTGGAACAGAGAGATCACTAATTGGTAGTAATTAAACAGAGGGAGAAAATTGTGTCGAGCTTTGGGGACTGTTTTGGTTGGATGAAGCAAATGCAAAATATAGAAAGTAAGAGTTCTCTCTCTTTCTCTCTCTCTCTCTGAGCCCTAAAAAGATTGTAAGATGATGGTGTTTTAATTTTAAGATTTTATAGAGCGTCTAATTCCATTTTCAGATTAAATGCATGTATTGAGCTTTCCTGGAGAGAGATCAGTGAGTGTCGTGTTCAGAATACACATTTTAGATCGGCATTAAATGGTTCATCATAAATGCGTCTCTTTCACTTTCCACTCTGTGCTTATCATTGAAGTCATCAGCAGGGGTTTTAGTATCTGAGAGAGCTCTGGAGAATCACAGGTGGCAACATGAATTTTATATCCTTTTTTCAGGACTGATGTAATAATAATATATCTGAATATCAGGCAGCTCACAGATTCAGCACGTCCGTTTGATCTGGATGTGCTTTGGCTTACCGTGCATTTTCAATCTTTGTATGTGTGGATTACAACAGCTGATACTTCCAGTCCTAGAGAGGCTCATGGCATTATTAATTTCACACGTGGCTGCCGATAATAGATCAGTTATTCACTGTAATTGCATCACAGGAAGTGAATGTTACTCATAGACTGGTTGAAATACTTTTTTTTCCCCTTTACCCATTTACGAGGCCAATAACGCTGAAGATAAATCTAAACAGAAGAGGAACAGATTCTAATAAAGTTCAACTCCTGACAATTACACACAAAAAATTGATTTCCGATTTCACATTAGTTAGTACATTGTCTGTCTTTATATTATTTTTACCTGGTGGTGCTATATAGTATTTTATCTGCAGTTAGACGAGGGAGGCTGGAAGAAAGCCGGTGTGTGCAGCTCAGAGCGGTTTGATTGGATGAATTATTCAGAGGTGGAGTATAGCAGGTATGGATGTCTAGTATGTGGGACATCCTGTCCCTCTCCAGGGCTGTGAAGTCTGTATTCTGATGGAAGCTGTGCACCTGCTGTCAGCTTTTACAAAGCTCCCCTGGGTGCCTTTCAATCCCTCATGCTCTCAAAAGATTTACAGCCATAATCAGATAAAAATTTGGTGGTGTTGTTTTTTTCAGCTGCAATTGCACAAAAATGGAAACAACAAAAGTAATGATTGGTTTTATTTAATCTGGTTTTATTTGTTTTAATGATGTGTTGTTTGTGGCCCCTCTCTTTTTATCTCTTGCTTTAACTCTGTGGTGCCGTTTGGTCATTTTTGACAGAAAGTTTACGTTTTTTTTTTTTTTACTTCATCGGAATGGTACGAAGCCGAAGGTTTTGGCACTTACCAAAAAAAAAAAATTATGGACATGATTCGAGAGAGTTAAAGGGATACTCCACTTTTTTTGGAAATAGGCTCATTTTACAACTCCCCCAGAGTTAAACTGTTGAGTTTTACCGTTTTTGAATCCATTCAGCCGATCTCCGGTTCTGGCGGTACCACTTTTAGCATAGCTTAGCATACATCATTGAAGTGGACAAGACCATTAGCATTTCAAAAAAAAAAATTACCAAAGAGTTTCAATATTTTTCCTATTTAAAACTTGACTCTTCTGTAGTTACATCGTGCACTAAGACCGACGGAAAATGTAAAGTTGCGATTTTCTAGGCTGATATGGCTAGGAACTATACTCTCATTCCTGCGTAGTAATCAAGAAACTTTACTGCCGTACCATGAGAGCAGCAGGCGCAGGCACTTAGTCCCGGTCACGTTGGAAGTTACCGAGCTGGGGACTATTTTCAGGCGCTGCGTCATATCATTACGCCTGCTGCACTCATGGTACGGCTATGCTAAAAGTGGTACCGCCAGAACCGGAGATCGGCTGAATGGATTCAAAAACGGTAAAACTCAACTGTTTACCTCTGGGGGAGTTGTAAAATGAGCCTATTTCCAAAAAAAGTGGAGTATCCCTTTAAATGGTCTTGAAAAAATAGACACACTTGTGTTGTTCACGGTAAAAAGTGACGGCATTGGAAATGAATGGGAGATGAATTTCATCTATTGGAAACATTTGCTACTGCGCACAAACAAAATCTTACAGTTTTAGAGTAAAACGTGGTTTTGCTAAATATACATTTCATATGAAAATTTAATATGGTATTTTTGTGGTATTAACAATACATGTAAAATGTAATGTCTTTTTTCAGGTTCACTCTTTTTTTCACTTCAGCAATAATGTCAATTGTCATCTTTAAAAAGAGACCAAAGCATTTAAATTTTATGTCAGTTTAAGTTGGAAATTAAATTTTCAGGTCCATGCTCAAAAAATGAATGAATGGATTATAACTACTGCATAAATATAATTAAATACAATAAATTCTCCTAAAAATACAAAATATTAAACAAAAAACATTATCAAACTAAAATATAGAACAAAAATTGAAATGAAAAAAAAAACATATGTTTTGACATGAACATTACCAGAGGGTTAATTTTAAAATTCTTGGAAAAACTCAATTATAATTTTTTTTTTTTGGTACAAGAAACCTTGACTTTTCGCATTTATACAATAAAAAATTATATATACATTAATATAGAATATATTTCTTATTCACTAGGACAGGTGTTTTTGAGTCTGATTATCCAAGACAGATTCACTCACTCACTGTTTTCCTGAACTGTCAGTGGGCATCTTCCATCCTCTTAGTGAAGCACTGCCTCTGAGGTATTCGTGCATGTTTGAAGTTCACAAACTGGCGTGCAAACGTGAACTCCACGCACAGGAGCTGAACCCAACCTCTGCAAAGCCACAGGGGGACTTAAACAAAAGAATGAAGAGAGAGATAGAAGCAAAATGTCAAAGAAAGAGATGATCAAAGGACCATCTTTCCCTACTATTCTGTGGTGTGTTTGTTTGTGTCATTCTTTGAAAGCACTGGAGAAAGAAAGGCCCATATTTATTGCTGCAAAAATTATGGTCGCGTCCCGTCTGCTCTTAACAGGGTTTGAGTGCCTTGACCACTGCCACAGCGTGTCTTAAATCACACTCGTAATGTGTTCTCTCTCTCTCTCTCTCTCTCTCTCTCTCTCTCTCTCTCTCTCTCTCTCTCTCTCTCTCTGTCGGGGTTGCAGGTAGCTGTAAAGAATAACATTGACGTGTTCTACTTCAGCTGCCAATTTCCCATCAGCCTGCTCTTTGTAGAGGACGGAAAGATGGGTAAGTGTGTGTGTTTGTGTACCATTAATCTCTGCCCGTGAAATCAGTATGAACGTGTCCTTTTATCCGACAGCAAGGCAACCGCTTTCAGAATCAGACACAGCCAAACTGCATTCTTTTTCATTTTCATAATTTTTTTCACTGTTGTCCTCTCACATGAACTCCTCCTTTTGTCCCTCTGCTCCTCAGAGCGTCAGGTGTTCCTGGCCACCTGGAAGGACATTCCAAATGACAATGAGGCACAGTTCCAAATCAAAGACATCCACCTCAACTCAGGTAACAGGAATAAATATTTGCCTTGCATGAGTGAATTGGGTAGGGAAGGCAGATGGAAAGGAATGAAACGGAGGAAATGAAACAAATAAGCAAAGATAGGATGAAAGGAAGAGCTCTACCCTTATCTGAGCTTTGTATTATTTTGACTGTCACACACTCTGTCTTTTAAATGAACACACCGTCTTCTGTTGAGGTCTGTCTCTGAAGAGCAGTGCTGATCCGGTGGCATGTCTGGGTGTAATTAATTCATGGCAGGTTTTTTGGGAATGATCCTCTTTCGCATAACTGTTTGCATAAAATAATTGTGAATCACACAGGCATGAACATGCACACACTCTCAGTGGTATTACTAATGAATGCACAGTGGGTGTCTTTAGTGCTCTTTTTAAATATCTCTCCTTTTTTTGACACTCTTTCTTTCTTCTATCCATGTGGCTTGATATTAAATATAGGTGTTTTGTGCATTGTTATATGAATCTACTGCCCACTGCAAAATATTTGTTTGTAATGCCAGATTTGAGATTGCGATTCAAATTGAATGTGATTGGAGAGAAAGTCTGAGTGGCACAAAATAATACATAGACTGTAAAGAGACGACACAGCTTTTTTTTGTTTCTCACTGGTTGCAAGTTTAAGGTCAGTGATTTTTTTTTTATTACTAATTTTGTTCTTTTTAACTTTCTATTCATCAAATTCATCACGGTTTCCACCCAAAATATTAAGCAGCACAACTGTTATCAACATTGATAATAATAAGAAATGTTTCTTGAGCACCAAATCAGCATATTCAAATGATTTCTGAAGGAAAGCCTGGAGTAATGATGCTGAAAATTCAGCTTTGCCGTCACAGGAATAAATTACTTTTAAAATATATTAAAATAGGATACAGTTAAAGGATACAGTAAAACTGTTACTGCACATTGGGTCAAATAAATACAGTCTTGGTGAGCATAATTGACTTCTCTCAGTCAACTGGTCACATCTGATTCAAACTAATCTTTTGAGATTGTTCTTTTTAGTGAATTGGTGAAACCAGGTATCGTTTATAGTTGTGGTTATCGAGTTAACATCTCATTGTGCAGATTAATCATTTTTGTTCTATGAAAAAAGGCAACTCAGACATTCCACCTAAGATCTTTTGTTGAGTGAACTATTCTTTTACATCAGACTAATTACTGACTGGTTCATATGACAACACATAAGTAAAAATACACATTTGCAACAGAGTTGCCATAGAGACTCACTCAGGTTCAATTTGTCTTTAGAAAACCTGCTGTGTGTGTCTGTTTTGATAATGAGTAACTTCTCTCTCCTCACAGACGCGGCCAGCAACAAGCTGCAAGGCAGTAATATCTTCACCATAGCCAAGAGAACAGTGGAGGGGCAGGACATGCTGTACCAGTCCATTAAACTCACTAATAGCATCTGGGTGCTGGCAGAAATGCGTGTGCAGACTGGAAACCCCAACTACACGGTAAATGGAAACAAAGAGAGATCAAGGGTGTTGGAGTGACTTTTAAAAGTATTTGAAGTAACTAGCAAAGTACCACTCGAACACACACACGCATAGATCGATAAAGACAAGAGGATGTGCTGGAGGAGACAGTAGCAGTCGCGCGTGAGAGAGTGTGTTGCTCAGAACGACTCCCCTGTTACTTCCTAATGAGTCATGCGGGAGAATGATTTGTGTTTGTGTGCACGCGTAAGAGAGGAAAAGGGTCAGAGGAGAAAGGACTGCTGGGAAGATCAAACACTGTCTTAAAACCTAACAAGCTGCATGGCTAGATAGCATTTTTTGACATTATAGATGCCTCATTGTCTAGTCAGGCTGCACTCTAGGTAGAGACTCATCCATTGCGTTCAGAGTGAGTGTTTGGTGAATCCTGGGTGGGTAAAGATAAGGAAGGACGATTGTCAAGAAAAGATGTCAATCCTCCTGCCAGTCCTTCCTCCTTTTGGTTTGTGGGATTTGCCATTATCACTCAGCCCGATGTGGAGTGTACGCTTCTTCTCTCTCACGTTCCCTTTCCCATTTCCCACATGAATCATGCCTCAAGCGCAATTGTAGGGAACCAGTTCTTCTCTCAGATCACAAGTATACCTAGAATTGTATACCCCAGCATGCTTTATTGCCAGTAGCAGAATATGCATCCACCTGAGATAATTAATTATCAATATATTATACATTTACTTATTTTCCCTCAGTTCATTAGCAACTGCAGCTTTTTCATCATAACATGGACATTTTTTTGTTATTTCACCAGGATGTGCACTTTCCATGAATAGCGTACACATTGGTGTGCCATTACTTTTCTTTTAATCAATGGCGGCACAAATTCAATGTTCTTTCAGAGTAACCATCAGATATGTTACATAAACTATTATCTAACATAAAATGAATCACATCAAATGCATCTAGCCCCTACCAAGTGCTTAATTTATGCTAAATATGCACCATGTGCCCATGCATCCTCTATCACATCTTGTTGTCTACGTGATGAATGAGTATAATTTGTGTTTTGGTTTTCCTGTTTGATTTTGTTGTTGTTTTTTCCCCCCCCTGTGTGTTTGCTCATCTCTCCACTCACCTTTGATGATGACATCACAATGCAGGAAATAGAGGTTGGGTGTTTTTCCCCCCCAAAAATCATAACTTAAAATCAACAACTATCTTTTACACCTTGCTTCCTTTTAAATGAGCATGACTCTTTCTTTTAGTTCCACGATCACCAGTAAAACAGTAAAGTCCACTGAAACACATAGCAGCATGTCGATAATGGTGGACATCACACTCATGTGACCTCCTATAAGAGCAACTGTTTTGAATGATCAAGCAAACCACAGTATGAGGAATGCTGTAAAACTGTTCAAATTCATATATTTTCCAGTCCTTTTGTCATAATAGAAAAGCATGGCATTTTAGGAAGGCACAGAGATTGTGTACATATAATTGTTTTCCAGATTTCATTCCAGGACAAATCAAATTGAATAGCCTTAATCAAAAGAGTTGCTCTTCAATGGGAACCCACCGACTCACGGCATATGCTTTTATTGTGCACAAGTCTCACTCTCCTATTCACACACCAGCGTTTCCTTCAGTGCTTTTAAGCGGCAACACTTCACCACTGCTGAATCTACACTGCTGCTGTTAAATCTACACTGCCACCATAAAGATATGGGAGTTATGAGCTGCCAGTCTGAATTAAATGTGATGGGATAAGACAGAGTATTAGTTCTTCTCGTAGTTGCTTGCAAAAACAAATGTATTGCATAACCAGTGTAGTCCGATTCTCGAGTAAATGACTCTGAGTCGCTTCTTTTAATGAATCGTTCAAGACAACTTACAAACATTCTAATACATTTTTCATTAAATAAACTTGCAATATTCGTTGTTAAATCTGATTGAATCCATTTGAACCACAAGATATTAACTGTACAAGAAGAGATTTCTGTAGAAAACTCTGACACACAACACATCTGTATGCGTCTGCTAATCTTCCTGCTCTTTCCTTACATTCTAACAGCCACTTTAAGAGGCAGAACTCACAGCTCAGACACACAGTCCATGAATCATGGTTGTTTTGTTCCTGGCCAATGTGGCACATAAACAATATTTGTCTGAAAGGACAGAAAAATGTGGCCATGTATCTATACTGTTGTGAGATGTTGTGTTTTCTAAATATCTAGCAATGTGGACATTAGTTACAAAGCTCTACAATTTGTCACTGTTCTTGGTCCCTATGGCAACCAGGCGTCCAATGGCACGGCCCGGTTCCCCTTTAAACGCGGCAAGCATCTAATGGCAGGGATCTGTTAAAGCATTCCTCCACAGACCTCCGTGTAGCACCCCGCTGCTTCCACTCTTCCTGTCATCCCACCATCTCATCTGTTTTCATTTGCGCTTTGATTACATTCTTCCCTATTGTCGCAACCCGCTGCTATATCTCCAAGACTTCGAGTCACACCATCCGTTCTTCCTCCTTTCTGTGGTTTATGCCCACCACCCACCTGTGCAGTATCACTCTTTCTTTCTTTTTCTCTCACTTCATCTCGAGTCAAATTATAGAACAATGCAACTGTTAATAAAACGCCTCTGCATACAGGAAGCTGATGCCACAGAGCAAGTCAGCACCAATGTCATCACTGTGTCTGTGTGCGCACTCACTACATTCTGAGTGAAGCTAAGACAAAATCCTCCAAAATCTGGCAGAACTAATGGAAGCTTGAAGTGGAGTAGACTGGGGTTTGATTGATAAGGACATGCCCACTAATTCCTTGGTGTTCTCAGTTTATTCATTCAGCTAATTTAGATGTCTGTTTAAATCCTGCTGGTGAGGTGTTGATCTCTAATGAGCACATTGATTTCTATTTTTATATATCTATGTACAGTATATTGCATTTTCATTTTTTAAGATTTGAAAAAAAAAAATGAATTCAGATTCAGAAGGGGTTTATTCTGCAATAACAACCGACAGGAGGTACATTATCCCGCTTATTACATGGCTACTTGCCGCATACATAAATAATTATACACGAAATATTGACTCGAGTTAACATATTTATTAGGTCTTTAAGTGCAAAGCTTACGCAGAGAGAGCGGTTGCTAGCAAGCTGCAAGTTCAAACTGGACGGACATTTAAGGGATACGGTACAGCCATGCCACTTATTACACAGCATTTTCACCGTATTATCAGATAATCCATCACAGTGTACAAAACAATCGTTGCAAAATAGCAAGAGGTGCGTTTGTATGAAACGAGATGTGATGGATGACAAATAATTGTACACAAAATATTGATTTGAGTTCTATACTGATATTTTATTAGCTCACCAAACGCAAAACTTCCCCATTTCTAGCTAGCGTAAAACGCAGACATTAGTTACCCGGATGAGCATGTTATCAGTTTTTACCGGTTGAGTAACACACCGCTGGGTGGCACGATTGACCAATCAGAATCAAGTATTCCACAGAGCCGTGCAATAAAATGTTTTAGGTTACACTTTATTTTACAATGTCCTTGTTACACGTTATAATAGTAATAACTATAAATTATGCATAATTACATGCAACTTAAACCTTATAGTAAATACATGTAGTTAATTGTTACTCAGTACTTAAATGTATAATATAACACTCTAACACGGACACCTTCAAATAAAGTGTAACCAAGATGATAAATGCTGTTCTTTTAAACTTTCAATAAAAAAAAAAAATCCTGAAAAAAGTTTTATCATGGTTTCCACATAAATATTAATTTCTGTGACACTGAAGACCACTGAAGGAGTAATGACTGCTGAAAATGATCAAATAACCAATAAATAAATAATACATAACCAAATTACAAATAATTTATTATATATTGTTTTAATAATTCACACTATTAATGTTTTTTACTATATTGTTGATTAAATAAATGCAGCCTTGGGTTTTTTATTATATAATTGTGTGTATATATATATATATATATACATCAGTTTACATTAAATCAACTGTGAAGTGTTTGGACAGAAACAGACAAATGTGTTGCATCGTGCTTGGCGGGCACGGTGTTACGAGTCTCTAATGTAGGCACTGATTTTTTTTCAAAGCCTCACAATCACATAAGCCCTGTGGAAAGCTACATGGTAATCTTATAGAAACCCAGAGAGAACTATTGAGTTTGGGAGGGATAAATTGTGCCATTGATCTCTCCATCACGCTCATCTCTTTCCCTTTCGCACTTGTGATGTCCTATTGCGCTGTACCCACCGGCTCTCTGATTATCCTCTGTTTGATTGGTCTGTGAGAAGCCTGGAGTCGGCTGCAGCGCTCACTTGACAGAGGAAGCAGGTGTCGCAGTAGATGGAGGTCTCCACTCAGGCCGACCTCTCCAAGCACACTTGCTCCTCTGACATTAGTCTGCATTTGTTTGTCTATTACTCTGTTAGTGCCATGTGAGATCCCTTTAGGAGGAATGGCTTTTTATGTGTCTCTCACCAAGTAAACACAGATTGCTTATGAATTTGCTACGGGTGGTTAGTTTCAATTGTTTCTCTAAAAGGAGTAAGAGCAGAATCATTCTATACCATTCAATTTTTTTTTTTTATTCTAATAATTAATAAATAAAAAAATGCATTCCGGGTGAATGGATCTTAATATTGTATGCTGATTTGGTGCTCAAAAAACATTTATTATCAATATTAAAAACAGTTGTGCTACTGTGATACCAGGATTCTTTGAGTAGAAAGTTCAAAAGAACAGCACTGGAATGGAAATCTTTTGTAACATTATAAATATCTTTACTGTCACTTTTGATCAATTTATTGCATACTTGAATAAAAAAATAATCGTAATGATCCCATACTTTTAAATGATAGTGTACTTTCTTTATATATAATTGGTGCAAGCATATATTTTAGGTTTAAGAGAGGTGGAGTACTGATGTGCTTTCAGACTTGAAACTAATGTCTCAAATTCACTTTTTCTTCAGCTCGTTGAAGTTGAAAGTTGAAGCTTGTTTTGGCCTACATGGCAATGTTTTTGTACTTGCTCTTGGCACATTGGAAGATTGTAGTAGTAGTGGCAGGCTTTCAGCATTACTAGTGTTTCATAGTTTCTTTCACCTTCTTTTTCTTCACTTTGAAATGTCTTCATTTTCCTAGCATGCACTCAAATCTTCATATCTTAACATTTTTGCGAAATTGAAATCAATGTTTGATACTTGCTAATGTGTCTTTCCTTTATTTGAATCTCTCTGTCTCTTTCCTCAGCTGTCGGTAAAGTGCAGAGCGCCAGAGGTCTGTCAGTTTGTGTACCAGTGCTATGAGATGGTGCTGAAGAACTGAAATGGAGGGAACCAAGAGGAAACCGCAGGTCCTGGGCATCATTTGGGTGACTGAAAACTCAAAACTTGATTGGACCAGTCAGAGAAAGAACCCCCACTGTCTTGCATTTCCCTCAGACGGTGCTTTTAGCATTGACTGAATCCCAAGGAATTTTTCTTCATTATTTTGTCCATTCCCAATACCCTTCTTTGTCCCTCCTGTTTCCATCCTTTAGTCGTAAAATCTCTCTCTAAAATGTGACGCACAAAATATAAAGATATCATCTTTATGCCACACATATTGTGCAGGTGTTCTCTTCAGCTAATTTCATTGCCTGCACTACATGATGTGTATTCTGGCTGCTTGTTTTTCCCCCTCATGGAGGGCAGGGATCATGTGCAGAAGATCTCAGCGTTTTAGAGCAGCCTGTATTCGTCATTCATCCAGTGGTTGGAAGGGTATGTTTACTACAGTTGAGAGAAACCTTTCAACACTGCTGTTTTTAGTTTAGTCTTCATAATCAGACGATGGGTCACTTGGTTTGTATCAGTTTGTGTAAGTCATTGAGGTTCAAATATTGATTTATTTATTTACTTCTGTTTTAGTAAAGCTCCTCTCCCATATTTCATTAGTAATTTAGATCTCACACAATTTATTTCAAGGGAATGCTGTGTTTATCCAGAAGCACTACACAAATGTGACATACACAAATGTTTTTGGTCTTCAGATTATGTCGCAGTAATTTTTTGTTATTAATTTGGGTTTATTTTCTGTCTTTTGTGTTCTGTGTACCAGTGTGTGTGTGTGATTTGGAGATGTAACATTCTGCATGTTTTGTTCCCTCTTCTGGCAATCTTCCCTGTCCTTCCTCATTCCCGCGTTTGTGTCTGTGTACATGCCCACATATTCGGGGGCTTGTCAATTCAGTGTGTGTGAGTTTTGTTCCAAGCAGGATAAACTGCTGGATCTGTGAGGGAGATTTGACTCCAAAGATCATTCTGCAGAAAACGATTACTTTATGGTATGAATATCTCATATCACACTGAACGCAATGCATCTGAAGTCTCCTGCTTTACAAAGCTACTTGTTCGTCAAACATGTTTCTTCTCTCATTCTTTATGGGACATGAAGTTGTGGTTAAACCTCTAGGCCCATGTGATGTTTCATTTTGTTTTTAAAATCATATTGGCAAGGGTGATCAGACCTCTCTCAAGCTTAATGTAAAATACATAACGCCAGATGAAACACTGCTGATCTGACACACATAATGCTGTGTGTGTACACTTAAAAGTTCCCAAATAATATTGATTATTGTTTTTCTTTTAATTATAGTTTTTGTTGATTCTTTATGTATGTGTATTTTATTCTGTAGGTTTAGTCATAGGGTGACTTCAAGGAGATTTCCAGCAAGGAAATTTGATTTACTTTTTGTTGGATTCTGTCATAAATGCATTATGTGTTATGGAAATTAAAGTATATAACCTATTGATTTAAAGTGTAATTATTCCAGCCTGGTTTTAAGGTGAAAATAAATAAATAATAAATAAAATGTGAATTATGACCATTCTTGAAACTGTTAAACTCTTAATAACTTGGCTGAAAATCCTTCAAAAATGTGTAATCTCTTTGCAAAAGTTTATGCAATTCTTTGTATTTAATACTTTGAGTACTGACCACTGTTGACTGCTTCAGTTATAGTCCTAACACACTTTGTTTTATTCATTAATAATCTTCAAATAGGTCAAACGGGCATCATGCTACAAACTATTTAAACTAGACTTCAAAATATCACCTTTTTATATATTCAATTTTGAAGTAAATGTGAAATCCTGGGGGGGAGCAAGCTGAACCTGTATCACATCTAATGACATTTTAACAAGTCAAGTTAGTAGGTGGAGGTTGAAAAGGTTTCAGGAAATGTCGTTTATTATAGGTTCCAGGCATCATCCAGTTATTCACTAAAACAACTCCATAGTTGGGAATTACTCATAATAATTGGTTGTAGTGTAGTTATGTATGCTTATTTCTATTATGTTTTGTCCCCTGTTCTTTTCTCTTTCGAACCTTTGATGGGCATGAACATATACCCCTTTCATTCAGTCCGTTTTTAACCCTTGTTAAACTCATGTTTAAGCACAATTTCCTCTTTGTGTTGACTAGCCTGGTGATGAAATTACAGTGCAATGTAGTCATATAGGAGCTGGGGGGCCTCATGTGTATCCAACCATATAATTCAGTGGAAGTGCAATCATAAACCAAGCCTGAAGTGCAATTCGAAGCTGCTAGGAACACAGAATGTTTGGATTGTTATCTATTGCTTATACAAATGAACTCAGCCTCTAGCCTGGCAATCGAACACTGTTTAGATGTTATAGCATTCATGACTGATGTTAAATTGATATTACTGTTGCATTGTGTGCATTATTGACAATTTGAGAACTGCTCCCTCTAATTTCAATGGATTTGCCTTCATGTATCAGGTTTAATGATGGCCTGAAGCCTGGACAGAAAAGGGGAAAACGTCATTAAAATATGGACTGAGAGGACAAAACCCCAGAGAAATTAATCTTTCTTGTGTAAATCAAATTGGACTAATGGGTGAATGTATTCCAGTTAATCCAGATATTACGGCCCATGCTATTTTGATACTCAACTTCTATTACCCAAAAGTTCCTCATCCGGATTAGAGAGACCGTGTGAATATAGGCTATTCCTGCAGATGACAAAGCAGATTATTTGCAGAAAGTTAATCACAACTTTATGTACTTACTCGTACTGTGTCTTAAATTCCTGCATTTTCTCTCCCGAGCGGAAGTGGAGTTGTGTGGTGCGAATTTGAGAAGCGGTTTTTGAAACTCTCTCTTCATCGTGGCTTAAGGTGCGGTTATTGTGCTGAATATCAGTACTTTTTATTGTTTACTAAACAAACAGCTCATTATTCCTGCTTGAGAAAGACACAATACATTTTCACATTGTATTCCTCCAACAATGCAAATAAATTCGGGATATGGCACGCGAGGAACCTTTTAGAGCTGTTTATAGCCAGGAAACATTAGCGCAAGCCTAATAAAACAGCCATGAATGCGCGCGCGCGCGCCAACCTGAACCACATGAGTGCGCGCGGAGGATCAGCGCTTAGTATACAACACAGGAGGGTGAATACTTCAGTGTATCTTCAACGAGAGGTCTGTGCGGATAAAGTCCACCTGCTACAATCTTACGGAGCTTAACGATGGACCTATTTGCGCAGACTGCATTTGGCTTGCGGTGAGGTTCACGATCAAGCGAGCACTCATGCGCTCGCGCAGCACACACTGCTGAGATGATGTGGGAATGTATGAGAGGTTACGCGGAGAAAGGGTCAATGGTAACCTCGAGATCGAAGAGCACACATAATCCATAGAGCAGCCAAATCGATACTGTTGGATACTGTTGACGTTTTCGAGCTCCAGAGCTGTGTGTGGAAACACTGGGAATACCGTGGAGCACGAGGGACTGTTCCCCAATGGAATGCAGAGAAGACAGCGCAACTGCCGCAGTGACTGAAGTTGGTTTGTTGATCCATTCAATAACGGATGCTGCCAACAGTGTATTTCACCAAAAGAGATAACGAAATGTACCAGAAGACAGCAGATCTGTGAGCAAACTCTTATTTATTTCAACATCCACGAAGTGTGTTCTCGTGCTGTATGCACACACAAAAAGACGCACGCTCACAATTCATGTGACTTGTTTTGATTTGTTGAGCAGCTTTCCAGGTGTCTTGATCGATAGTCGTCGTCTGCAGTCCTGATCTGGTCCTGATCCGCGCGGGATGGTCGAGACGCTGAGCATCGCCGTCATCGGAGCGCCTGGAGTCGGGAAAACTTCTATCATCCGTCAATTTATTTACAATGACTTCTCTGAGACTTACAATCCAACCCATGCGAGATACGTGTACAGACCCTCGGCCATTCTTAACGGTGTTATGTACGACCTGAAGATTTTGGATGTCCCGCCAATTTCCTCCTTTCCTTCAAGCCCTAGTCAGGTAACTTAACCGGTACAGCTAACTTATTAGGCTACTAACAAAGTGCTGGATGCGTAAACACACGGAATTAAGTGATTAATTACAGTAATAACATTAATTAAACAACATAAAATGTAGAATAAACACATGGGCTAATGTATTCAACAGATTTTACTGTAACAGCTAGGCGACATAATCTCTTGTTGAATAGGCTATAGGCCTAATAATTTCCTAGGTCATTCAACCTTTTCATCCCAAATTTTTTTTAAGTATTTAATACATTTTACCTTTAGTCCTAAATGTAGTCTCGTTAAATCTATTGAAATATTTGCCTCATATATGCTAAGTTTAAAACGTTTAGCAATTTCGGGCATAGCCTACACTAGTCATGTGGTGGTTATAATTACATGGAAACTTGAGATGCCACAAAGTAGCCTATTAATTTGAGCACTGGATTCAACATCACATATCAAATCAACTCCTGACGAACACAATTATTATTTGTCATTTAACCATGTAGTCTATTGCTATGTCTTTGGAAGGCATTTGTCTTTGAAACATTTAAAACATGTCATGTCACGTGTCATTGTTGTAATTTTTATTATTTTAAAATTATTTATTTCAATTTGAAATTTTTATGATTTATTTAGGCCTAATTATTAGCTTTTCAGTAAACTCAAGAACCCCAGTTTGGTAAACCCTGACGTAATTTAGGCTAATAATCCACTTTGTGTTGTTGATAACAAAGAATGGAATATACTTTCTTTCTCTTTGTATTTTTAATATCAAAATGGTGCAACGTGATAAATGAGTTAGGTCAAAAGTAATCTAAAAGTAGGCTAATCAAAAAGTAGTCTGATTATATTACCTAAAATGTGTAATGTAATGGGTTATGTTGCAAATTACAATTTTTGTCATGTAATTTGGAATCAGTAACGGACTACAATTTGTAAATAATCTACCCAGCACTGTTACTTTTTGCTAAAAGTCTTTTTTTCTTTCTTTTTTTTTACTGCATACAATTCATGTCCAATAATCATTTATTAATGAATTGCAAAATTTCCTCTAAAAAATATGCCACTTTTTTAGTGATGGAAATATGTCTCGTGTTATAAAGGTTCAGGAGCTTGTTTTTAATGGGAAATTGATTCTTAATCCACCAGTTTGACCTTGCACCCGTAAACTGTCTCTCTCTGGCATGCAATTATTCAAATTCACACTTTCCAATCCTTGAAAAAAAAATGTTTTGTTGTTGTTTTGTTCTTGTTAATCAAATCGAAGTGAATCTTTTACAGATCTATAAATAGACAGAGATTCCCGAGGAATGTTATTGTATTGCTTCAGGAGAGAGGGGCTTTCCTCAGGAAAAAAATATATATCTCATTTTGGAGTAGTTGCTATGGAGACATGGCTTGAACTGAGCATCTGTAAGCTTATTTTCTGTATCCTCCCTCTGGCAAATATTTCTCTCTCTCTCTCCCTGTCCTCCCCCATCTCTCCCTCTCATCTTTCTCTCTCTGTCACAAACACACTATTACTCTTCTTCTTATTTTATATAACAGTCTTGGCATTTAAAGCACCCATCCAATTATGCTTGTTAAAAGATCCTCAAATTGGCAATGTTTTGGAATAATCCACAGTGGCAAAATAATCTGTTTTGTTAAGGAAGTGTCCGAACTAGTCATTTTTAGTGTCAGAACTAGTCATTAACATCTTCAGGTGTTCTTGCATCTCTTGAGTTTTCTGTTGAAACCACACATATTCTGTCAGTCACCTGTAGCATGAAATACTTGCAGTGTTTTGCTCTATCCTTCTCTCTGAGATCTACTTTTGACATTGGTTCTAACCCTGCTCAACTGATTGCAATTTTCATTTTTTAGGCTTGATTAGCGGTTTCATGTGTGCATGATTGGAGCTGACAACAAACTCTGCAGGAAGGTAGATCTTTAGAAGAACACATCTGCTAAGAAGTTAAATGTAATTAATTTGTGCTATCATAATTTACATCAGTTTTAAATGTATTCATTTGATGTTCACAGATGTTTTGATTTATCCAGAGCGATTTACAAATCAGAATAATTCAAGCATGCAATTAATCCAAGTAATGCTACTAGGTCAAAAATAGCTAAATACCAGAGTATTACAATGCTAGATCCTACAAATCCTTACAAATCCAGACAAATCATTGCCGCTCAATTCTTAATACTGTCAGAAACTCTACATGCAAGACACGTCTCTTCAGAGCAAACTACTAAAAATCCAGAATACTGCCCTTCAAGGAACATGATCTAGTTCAATTTTGACCGTTTTAGGATTTAAATTATGGTTATTCAAATATTCCATTTCATGCAGTGTGTAATATAGCTGTATGTGAATGTAAATGTTCTGCAAAGTTGTAAAGTCGAAAGTGCACGATAAATAAAGTTATTGTCTCCCAAAAGATAGAATCGACTCTGAACCGCCTATACTAGTCGTTTGTATTTCGAATCCCACTGCGTGACGGTTGTACGTCACTAGAAAAGATACATTTGCATATGTCTATGTTGTACGTTGTCAGGCCGTGAACGACTGGTCCCCCCTTCAAACACGTAATTTTACTGACGACTGCATGCTTTTCAAATCTCGGAGTTCAATGTGGGATTCGCAAAACGCTTGCTCTTGAAAAATGGGTCAGTAGTAGTAGGCCTACCCAGTTTATTTGGACCAGCTTGCTCCTCAGAATCACAACCTGAAAGTATGAATAATTATTGATGTATATAATTTCTACCGGGTGTTCAAAATACGCAGTTTTTTGTTTTATATTGTATAAGTTTCCGGCTAACCGGCTCACGTTATTACTCACGTTATTACTGTCTTTTTGAAATACTTCTGCTAAGCAGCTGTGGGCCACTATTACCTAAAACTATCTATTAATGCAGATTGTCTGTCGTTCTTACTACTTTGAGTAAAGTTAAAGAATGGAGCAAGATTTGTGTTTACAAATGTTTGTTACATCAGTCATTCATGTTAGTGCTGGGCTATCATATGCACCGTTATTGATACAGTTCCTGCATGTGCACCACAATAAGAAATATACACAACTGTTTTTTTGATGGGCATACAATTGTTAATGCTGATGGTGAGGAATTACAGATGCAACATCTCATAATGGACCTCAAAATGAGTAGTGTATTACTGAGAAACTTCCTGCTGAAGTCATCCTTGCGATGGAGGTTTGGGTTGAATAAGTAGTTCTTCCAATGTTTCATCGGATTGATATGGTAAAAGCGACGCCATTGTTACTGTCTTTACAGTGTGTACAATCGCTGAGCTGTAGGAAGCCTCCGGACGCTGGAGCTGGAGTTTATTGTAATGGACGTTTTGTTTCCGACATGCGCTGTAATTGGTAGATCATTTACACAGACTGGGCCATCTGACCAATCAGAGCAGATTAGCTCACGGAAAGGAGGGATTTAGAGAGACTGATTCATCCATCAAGTCGTTTGATAATCATTGAAAAATGGGGTGATGTGCAATGAATATTATGAGAAAATGAAAGTGTTTTTTGAACTTTGATGCATGTAAACCTGTTTTAGGAGACCTCCAAAACAAAATGAGCGTTTAAAAATAGCATAATATGGGCAATTTAAGACTCAACAAAATGATCTCGAACTCCCTTTAGGTTTGCAGGCCAGGCTCCAGCTTTGAGATGTAAGGTGGGCAAAGTGACATTCCTGTTCCTGGTGGGCAGGAGTTTTAACCTTATTGTATTTTTTCCCCGTTATAGATTTTCAAACTTTATTTTATAACAAAAGGGGCAGGTACTCAAAGGGACTCAATATTTAAACACACAGGGCTTAACTCTAAGGAGTTTACTGGTTACTTGCCCTGCCACACACACACACACACACACACACACAAACAAACACAAATAATAAATATAAATAGATAAATAGTATTTTAATTAAATATTTTATTATTGAATTAAATAATGTTAAATAAAGACAAGTAAACACTAGACAGTCAGCAATAAAATAAGAACGAATGAACAAATTACAAGCAGCAGCACTAATGAAATCAATAGAACAAAAAAATAAAAATAAAATAAACATTTCAGGTATTCAGGTACGAAATACTATAATGTTTAAATTAAATATATATTGATCCTATTAAAGCCAAAGTTATTCAGTCAAGATCTTTTTTTTTTTTTAATTAACATTAATGACACAAGACAGCTATTAAGCTACTTTCACTTCAAGACCAAATGCACGGATCTGACACACATCAGATTTTTTCCTAACTGTTCTTTACATTCATTAAGAGTTCTGTTTCATTTCTACTGACCGCCAGAGGCAGTGCAAAGCACTAGTGGATAATTGCTGCGCCAGCTAGATAGATCGAGAAGAATATAACAACAAAGTCACGTCATGACGCAGAACGAGACGCGAGAATATAAACCACAGCGACTCGGTGCCCAGCCTCTTTCGCTTTCTCGCTTTTGATAGGTCGTTTGTTTTTCACGCTGTCCTGTGCAGCTTACCTGAGTTGCAAGGATTCGCCCTCCCAAGCTGTGACAGCGCGCTCTACACTATCATCAAGATTCATTGCGTACTCGCCATTGTGCTAGTCATTGAATGCCTCGCGGTTCTATCCGAAGGCAGACTTGACTTTTACGTTACTTGTGAGAGCGCGTTTCATGTTATAGAATTTTCGGTTCTATCCGAAGATTTTTTCGAACTGCTCAGTGGCTGTTATTACCGTTTTAAGTGCCTACGGTGCTAACCGAGGACGTGTTATTGACGGAGTCATGGATCATAGCTCTCTCATCTCCGTTTCAAGTTGCAAGTTGTGTCCGAATACGCTTCTTCCGAATCGATGCCCATCATGTTTAGGCGCTCAACATCTGAAGGAGGCCCTGACTGATCCGTGTTTGCATTGCATTGCATTGTTGCATTGTAGCGCTCCGCCGAGCAAGAAGAAATCTGTACTATAGAAAGACACTTCAGAACACTTGTTATCGAAGACTGTAGCTTCTCTCTCTT